GATTGTACATGTTCCATTTAGATTCTACATTTCCTCCACTAGGGGTTTCTCGCGCACTGAACGCGGCAGAGTGTGCGAGCGTGAAGGAAAATGAGTTGCGTTGTCGTTTGCTGGAGGGGAAGCAACTGAAAATTAATTTCTTCATTCTGGCTATAATTATGATCCGATCAGATTCAGATTCGGCAATCTGGTAGATATGGTCATTCTCTACGATAATGCGTTTTAAGTTTTATCGTATCTTTAAAATTGTGGCTGCCACATATTTTCGTCCTTTGTTGTGGCGGAAGGGGGCGGGGCGAAATTTTGAAATACACTTGTGACATCACATGAGTCTGGAAACAAAATTTGGTTCCTCTAGCTATTATAGTCTCTGAGATCCAGGCGTCAAACAAGACGGACAGACAGACAGACAGACATGGCTCTATCGACTCGGCTATTGATGCTGATCAAGAATATATATACTTTATGGGGTCGGAAACGTTTCCTTTTCTGCGTTACACACATCCACTTTTACCACAAATCTAGTATACCCCTTAACTCTTTTTTGAGTACTTGTCGCTCTAATTGTGGCAGTGAAAGTTTCGTATTCGGAATCTTGCAGAAGGTATCGTTTGCGGACCTTTTATAATATATTTTGAGAGCCTTTTGAAATATTTTTTTCGAGCCTTTTATAATATCGTTTACGATATGATTTTAATATCATTAACGAGCCAGAAGTAATATTAAAAGAAGGCCACTATTAATATTAAAAGTATATTAAAAATAATATTATTTTTGACTAGATATCATAAAAGGTTCGCAAGCGCTACCTTCTGCGATAGCTTAAAACGTTTCATTCAATTTTGTTTTTTTTTTTTTTTTTTTTCAGTTTTTGGTGTTTATTTATATATATTTGATATATGTGATGATATATACTGAAGAAAAAAAGTTAAAATAAATCGGCGTATTTCAATATGAAAAAAACTGAATACCTAAAAGAAACACTCAAATCTAAATTTTCATTAGTTTTTGAGCGTTCGAAACTCGGTCCTGTGCGTATTGAAAGAACTTTTGGGTCACCCTATCAAAATCGGCATCCTCAAGCGCAAGTCTTTCTTTAAGTCCCACTGTAAGAAACAAATTGGATTTTATTACATTGTAATATAAATATTCATTTATAAATAAAACTTACTACGGATTGCTAAGGTCACACGCAAGCCCCTTATGTACTTCTTACTTGCAACCATCAATCTGGGGGCCCTCCTTTATTTTGTATATTTCTCAGTGGCTATTATATTAATACCCGTACTCAAAAAATAGTTAAGGGGTATATGAGATTTGTGGTAAAAGTGGATGTGTGCAACGCAGAGAAGGAAACGTTTCCGACCCCATAAAGTATATATATATTCTTGATCAGCATCAATAGCTGAGTCGATATAGCCATGTCCGTCTGTCCGTCTGTCCGTCTCGATGAGCGCCTGGATCTCAGAGACTATAAGAGCCAGAGAAACCAAATTTGGTTTCCAGGCTCATGTGATATCACACAGATACAAGTGTATTTCAAAATTTCGCCCCGCCCCCTTCCGCACCCTTAAAGGAGGAAAATCTGTGGCAGGCACAATTTTAAAGATACGATAAAACTAAAAACGCAGTATCGTAGAAAATAACCATATCTACCAGATTGCCGAATCAGATCGGATCATAATAATAGCCAGAATGAAGAAATAAATATTCTGTTGGTTCCCTCTCCTTCTCCAACGCTGCTGACGCTACTGATTCTCTTTCTCGCTCGCACACTCTGCCACGTTAAGTGCGCGAGCAACCCCTAGCGGAGATGATGTAGAATCTAAATGGTACATGTAAATTCTAAATAATCATAAGCTCAAAAATGTATATACTGACTGAGTACGGGTATAAGTAGAGTCGCGTCCCCAGAAGCGACTCACACGTTCCTTCTCGTTTTTAATCTTTTCTCCAAGAAAATTACACGCTTTCAATACGATGTCACTTTTTATGTTTTTTTTTTATGTTATCAAGGTTATGCAAAAGTCCACACACTATCGGAATTACAAGAGATATTGTCACAGCGCAACCAGAAGATGTCTGCACTGTAGCATCATCAAACTGAGATAGTACTTGTACAAGTTCTTCCAGAATTAAAATGTCCTCAGCTGTCAAAGGCAGAGGCGCTTTAGGGGTGGCCAGAAGGATCTTTCCAATGGCATCCTTTGTCTTTGAAATGCGGTTAATCATTTGATAGCCACTATTCCAGCGTGTAGGCAGTTCCTGCTATAGACTATATGGTTTTGGCACATCCTGGGCCTGCTAGAACTTAGCGTATGCTGTGGAGCTACTCTTCAAAAACGAAACGATTCGCTTGCATTTTGACATAATTGGTTTAATTTCTTCTTGAGCCAAACAATCCTGAACAACCAAATTCAAAGAGTGTGCGAAGCAAGAAAGGCTTGTCTTGTCAATGTTTTTGCAAGCTCTAAGCATATTAGCGGCACCATCTGTAACAATAGCTATCACCTTATCAAACATTTTCCACTCCTCAAGAGTCGAGCGCAAGGAATCGCTTATGTTTAACGCAGAGTGATTTGTTTGGTCCTCCAATTTTTTTGTTGCAAGAAGCACAGTGCGCAAAACAAAATCAGAGCTGACAAAATGGCATGTTACTGATATATAACTCTCGTTTGCACGAGAAGTCCAACAGTCCGTAGTTACAGCACAATGATCTACAGCGTTAAGTAGATCCTGCAGCTAACATTTCATTGAATTTTATGCATTTTTCATGTGCACATTCTGTAGTGTGGTTCGACTTGGTAGCACATAGCGTGGATCGAGGTTCGTAGTGAATTTCCTAAAACCTTTATTTTCAACTACAGAAAATGGGCGCAAGTCAGAAGAAATGTAGTACACTAGTTTATTGTCCAGACTTTTTTTGCGTGCAGATCCAGTTTCATATTTCTGCTGAAGTATTCGATTGTACCTACCGGTGGTTTAATGTTTTCTATTTTTGCAGTTGGGTGCAGCCTTTTTAAATGGTCCGAAAAATTGCTAGTATTGCCACTAGTTTTGTAGACTTTGTTACATAAAATGCACTCAGCATTTTTACCCCGCAATCTAAAAAAAAAACTCCCATACTCTCGACTTTTCTGTCTTCCTTCGTTTTGGTTCATTTTCGTCGTCCGAATTGGTTGTCGCTCCGGCGTCTACACAAAACATGTGACAATAAATATCAAACGATCCGATGATCCTATTGGGCTTTGAGGAGGCTCAGAGGAGGCCTAGCTGAGGCCACCGGATGGGCCGCGGGTTGCGGATAGCGAACGGCCTACCCCTGGGGGTAGGTCAACTGTGAATAAGCGGGCAATCCAAAGAGAAGCAACTAAGTTGGCCTGGCTGGGGGCCCGGTATAAAAACAAGCCCAGTCGCGAACGGAGAGCTCAGGGACTTGGCAGCCCCCTGTTCTAATTATGCCTTACCCGGGTAAAGTGGAACTCTGCCGGGGTGGACTGTTCCCCTTCTCTGCAGCTCGTGGGAATTACATGGTAAACGGATGCAGGCTCTCCTTCAGCGACAGTGCCAGTTACTTAGGGTTGGTAATTGACAAAAAGCTTAGCTGGAACATGAGCATCAAAGACAGAGTGAAGAAGGCTACGATAGCCCTCTACACTTGCAAGAAGGCCATTGGGCTAAAATGGGGCATGAACCCAAGAATAGTCCAATGGATATACCTAGCAATATTAAGACCAATACTACTCTACGGAGTCGCAGTGTGTTGGCCTGCCCTATCGAAAAGGACCATTACTAAACAACTGGGCAAGGTGCAGCGCACTGCAGCCCTATGCATCAGTGGAGCTCTGAGCACCACACCAACGGATGCGCTAAATGCTATCCTATGCCTGCAGAGCCTTGACCTTGCAGGTAAGGAGCAGGCAGAAATGGCAGAAGTTCGTCTGAGAGACTCCGACCAATGGGTGTTACTGCACACTTGTCACGCATCTATCCTAAAAGGAAACAATATCGTCCCCACAAAAACGGACTACATAAATACTCTTTTTGAAATAATTATCCCTCACAGAGACAACTGGGTCGAGGGACCAGCTGGCCCAGACGGAGCCATACAAATCTTCACAGATGGTTCAAAGCTGGACAACAAGGTCGGAGGAGGAATCTACTCCGAACAGCTTAACATAAGACACTCTTTCAGGCTCCCAGATCACTGCAGTGTCTTCCAAGCGGAAGTCATAGCGATCAGGGAAGCTTTGAGCTGCCTTCAAGAACGTGCCCCTACGGCAACTCATATAAATATTAATAGTGATAGCCAAGCTGCGATCAAATCGCTGAATGCGATAACATCAAGCTCGGCTACCGTGGCGAACTGTCGCAAGTCCCTCCATGAGATGGCTTATAAGTTTGTTATCAGCCTAATATGGGTCCCGGGCCACCAGGACATTGAAGGCAACTGTATAGCAGACGAGCTGGCCAGACTGGTACAACAATCCCCCTTCTCCACGATAAGGAGGATATTCGTATACCAATGGCCACCTGCAAGCTCAAAATAAAAGAACATTTTAAGCGACTAATAAATGACAGATGGCAAACAGTGCCACTATGTCGCATAACTCGGCAAACATGGCCTAAAATTACTAGGAAGCGCACCTATAACGACTTCTGTCGGAGCTGTAGAGATGAGGACGAGGAGGAGACTGTGGAACATCTGTTCTGCTCCTGTCCGGCTCTCAGTAGAAGGAGACTTCAATACTTAGGCGCACCTTTCCTAATTGACATTTCAGACATGTCTACAATCAGGTCCAGACGGATCGCAAGCTTCATAAGGGCATCCGGATGGGACAATGGATAACATAGTGTCTCACGAGGGAAGAGGGAACGATCTATGCGGTATCACAATGGGCCGAAACCGGCCTAGGTGTGTCGGGTCTAACGATCCCGACAACCGCCTCAACCTAACCTAACCTAATATCAAACGACATTCATAATAGTATATTACTTACCCTCTTTGCTTAAACCTGCTAAAAACTTGTTCATCCCGTCACCATCAACTCCAACAACGCTCTTAGAACAAATAAAGATTAAATAAAATAAATTATTTGTTTGCACAATGTTTACCTTTTTACTGTGCAGCAAGATATGGTAAATATGTTTACCACTATCGAACTATCGGGGAAAAAAACCTCGATAGTCGAATCAGTCAAGTCGCCATCGATACTATCGATAGTGGCTCGATGTTTTTGCAGCTCTACCGCATAGCATTAAAAGTATGGATTTCACATCACCAAAAAACAAAATTTCGCGTTTATTTGTTTTGTCTGTGTGAAAACATTTATGATTAAAATCAGTGATACAATACAGAGAAATTGATCGCTTTCTTCAAAGAGGTATAATGCTTACTTTTAAAGTAGGTTTAAGTAGTTTTGACTTTGTGGTGAATTTAAGGTAAACGTCGGAGCTCCTCACGCTCAGTGTGTCGAGCGCTGAAAGGCAGCCATGCGATTGCTGCAGCACGGACTCGGAAAAAGATTTGGCGATCGAGAGGCAAACACATAAAAAGAAAAGTAAAATCTCACCAGTCTGGAAATATTTTAAAAAGTCTGAAGACAACAAATTTTGAAATTGTATTAACTGCGGGAAGGAGTCTGAAACCAGCGGAAATACGTCCAATTTGCACGATCATCTACTTCGAAGGATACCGACAACATCGCATCTACAAGCAGCAGTTTTAGATCAAGTATGCAAAATATAGTTAAGTATGATTCCCACGCCGCAGTCCGTCTCGTGTTCCTCGGGAGGTGGCGGCTGTGGTCGGTGGCACTGTCCTCTGCTCGTGGGGAGAGGGCAGCGGCTGTTTGGTTATTCCGCTCCGCTAGCGGGGAGAGGTGCGGGGTCCGCCTGTCAACGACTCTAATTCACTTGGTATGTGGATTGCGGTGGAAGGGTACTACCTCCCTTTTTGCTGGCCTTGTGGCTCGGCAAAGTAAAAGAATATTATTTCGGTATTCAACCGGAGTTAGTATTTATTGAGTGCTCTTCTTAAGGGTGATACAAAAACTGAATCTTAATTCTAAAAACATAGCCGGCGAGCCGGCCGTTCATAATCCAAAAGTGCTGACCCAGCAACATGTGTGGAAGTCGTACGATCGCTGGTGGCCAACGATATAAGGGCCGACCCACAATAGCGACATATGCTGAATCAGCGTTCTGAGTGCAGAACTTGGCTTATCGTTAGGATGGTGCTAGGGTGTACAAAAAATATTAGGTGATGCATAAACATTAAGGTGGCACATGATTTATTGTTACTTGTTAACTAGCATTCTGTAGCTTCTTACTTTAAGATAGCTGTTTTCTACGAACTAATTCAAAGCGAAAGAATGACATTGACAGGGCTTTAACGGAAATTATTGCATAATATAGTGGAAAATTAAGGCTTTGTAAACTACAGTCAGGTTTTGGATCCCAAGCCAAACACATTTAAGAGATGTGCTGATTCTTAATATGTTCAAAGAAACTTCTGCTAAATTTTCAACGATGCTAGAAGATATTTCGGATATATCGGTCACATGTGACTTGTGAACATCGAGGGCCAACGATAGTTTTTTAACCGTCACATGTCACTTTGTTTATGATTATAATTTAAAAAAAGCATCATTGGCCACAAGAAAATTATAAGCACAACAAATCATTCGGCGCAAAATGTTGCAAACACTTTGTAAGATTTTTTAAATCATTGGAATGTCTTCGAAAAAACAGTTTTCATTGTTACGGATAAAGCCAGCTCAATGCTGAAAGCATGTGAAATATTAAAAATTTCTGGTGGAAAATATGTGTCGATTTCGCTTATAATACCGATGGCATATGGACACTACCGCAAACTTGAAAATCTTTTACCACAACTACAAACTTTGCAAGGAAAAAATATGCAAAATACTTTATTAGAGTCTATAGAAACGTCTTTCCATTTATAAGCAACGGTCAGTAACCAGAATGGCTACAATATTGGATCCACGATTTAAAAAAAACGGTTTTCAGCATTATTCAAATACTGAACAAGCATCAACTGCTGTTGAAAACGAGCTTGTGAATTTGTCGGTCAAAGAAAACCCTGTCAATTTGAACCCGTCAACAGAGACTAAAACTCGGGACACAATTTTTTTTTAGTTTTAAGATGAAAGACCTATAATCAAACAAACAAACTCACGTACAGATGCAATTATTATTAAAAGACCATATCTAGAGAGAGATTAAGGTAAACTAAATAACGAATTATCAATACTCAAGAAATATATATGTATTTATACTAAATTATATTTCAGGTCAACCAACTGTTTTTCACTTGCTTAAAAGGCTATACTTGTGCATCTCCGCAACATCCGTTGAGTCAAAAAGAGTATTTAGCACGGCGGGCCAAATTGTTTCGGAGAGGCAAACCAGTCCAAAAAAAAAAATTTATTGGCAAACATTTTTAGTTTTAGATAACCGCATTAATTAGGCGTCATTTAAGGTATCGTTCATTAAAATCTATTGAGAGACTGTGGAGCTAAAATTCGTTAACCAAATCTAAAACATGAAAAACGAGAAGGAACGTGTGAGTCGCTTCTGGGGACGCGACTCTACTTATACCCATACTCAGTATATAAATTTTTGTGCAGAATTTTTTAGAATTTAGAATTTTAAAAAAAGTTCATTTTTTTTGGCTACATCTACAATGTTTATTTTACATCTAACATGTAGATCAGAGATGGGCACGCCGTGGCTCTTTCGGCTCCCGCGGCTCTTTCCAAAATGTTTTTCGGGAGGCGCCAGCAAGTCGGCTCAGACGGTCGTCGCTCGCGTTCAGCGATCCGTGAATTTTTACAAAAACAATGCCACAGAAATTTGGCGTCAAAGAGACGGCAAAAATGCTTCGAAGGCGCGATCTCGAGATTGCAACAACAAATCATGTGTCTTGGGCTACGCACATGAAAATCAGAGCAACAACAAATTTAAAGGGAATTGCTCAGCTCTCGACGAGCTCTGCACTGAGCAAAAAAGTTTTGCATTTTTTATTCAGTCGTTTTTCTAGGCGGGCACGAAGGCACGGAAAAATGACTGAAGAAATAGAAAGTTCCGAATTTGAGAGGCGATTTTTTTTTACAACAAAAGATAATAATTCCAGATTTTTGCAATGCCTAATTTGTGAAATAGTATTAGCAAAAAAGACTTATAATATTCGACGACACTGCATTTCACAACACCAAAACACATATGGCTCGATGAGAGAAAAAGAAAGGTTCGATCTTATTCCTAAGTTAAAAGCATCACTTTCCATAGGAATAATAAAAGCGGAGCCAGGGCCTGTCAACAACAAAAACATTCTACGAGCTTCTTTTATTGTAAGCTACAAATTGGCCAAAGCTCAAAAATGTTTATTGGACGGAGAGCTTTTTAAATCTGTCTGCATATATATGTTGAAGTGCCTGGATAAGCAAGGTGTGGAAATAAGCCAAATTGTGCAAGAAATACCGCTTTCTCGTCGAACAGCGACACGAAGAATAAATCAAATAAGCCAACAGTTAAAAGAAAATCTTAATGAAAAATTAAGAAAATGTTTCTTCTACCCGTTGGCAGTAGATGAATGCACTGACGTTAATGACGTTGCGCAAGTGCTGATATTTATAAAATTTATTGACTGCGATTTTCATGTTGAAGAGGACGTTTTAAACTTAGTACCTTTACATGGTACAACAACAGGAGCGGACATATTCAGTGCAATAGAAATATCGGTCAACGAAATCGGTGGATTCAAAAAACTTTGCGGCATGTGCACCGACGGAGCAAGGAGTATGCGTGGAGATATCAAAGGACTCAAAGGACAGTTTAAGCTACGAAGCATCGATGTCCCCTTCTATCACTGCCTAATTCATCAGGAAGCCCTATGCGCCAAGGCATTAAATATGAAAGATGCTATGGAGTGTGTTGTAAAAATTATTAATAAAATTAGAGGAGGTCATAATGCCTTGACACATCGCAAATTTCAGTACCTGCTACATGAGCTCAAAGCGCAGTATGGGGACCTTAAAATGTTCACTGAGGTTCGTTGGTTCAGCAGGGGAAAATGCCTAGAGCGTTTTTTTTCTTTGAGAAAAGAAGTTTAAATATTTCTCAAGAATCACATAAAAAATTGCCCAGAATTAATTGCCAAATTAGAAGACCCTCACTTTCTTTCTCAAGTTGCATTTGAAACAGATATTACGATGTATCTGAACATTTTAAACTCACAGCTTCAAACACCGAAACAGTCAATGGTGACGATGCTATCAAGAGTTGATGGATTCAAGAGAAAATTGGGTATTTTGCAAAGTGATTTAAATCAAAATTGCTTAAGTCATTTCCCTCACTGTCAGGAACTTATGACGGAATATCCCACATTACGTTTCTCATCATATTCAGAATACATACAACAATTAAAAGAATTGTTTAAGCAGCGATTCACTGATTTCGACGAAATTCAAAAAGTTAATAAAAATATATGTAAGCCCAAAAGCGTGTGGCACCCCATGGGCTGTGCGTCTGACTACCTCGCGGCCGGGGAAACAAGTGCCGGTAGAACAATACCCCATTTTAAAAGCGTCAATGCTTAAATTGGAGACATGTTTCGCCAGTACTTCTGTGTGCGAATCAGCTTTTTCCCCATATAAAAGCCATAAAAAATGCATATTGAAATAGATTAACCAATATAAACCTATCCGATTTGTTAAGAATATCCATAAGCAAAGATAATGTCGACTTTGACAAATTAATAAACCAATATAATTAAATTACCTCAAAAATGTTTGCCAGTGTATTCACTTTGCTCGCCCATTCTGTCTGGCTCATGACTGCGACGCGTCGCGACGGGGGTTGTTTTTTTTTTTTGTTTTTTCTGTCTGGCTCTTTTCGTAAGTTTTCGTGCCCATCACTGATGTAGATTATAGATGTACCATTTATATTCTAGATCTCCTCCGCTAGGGGTTGCTCGCGCACTGAACGAGACAGAGTGTGCGAGCGAGAAAGAGAATCAGTAGCGGCAGCAGCGGAGGAGAAGGAGGGGAAACCAACAGAAAATTAATTTCTTCAATCTCGCTATAATTATGATCGGATCTGATTCAGATTCGGCAATCTGCTTGATATGGGCATTCTCTACGATACTGCGTTTTTAGTTTTATCGTATCTTTAAAATTGTGCATGCCACAGATTTTCGTCCTTTGTGGGGGCGGGGCGAAATTTTGAAATACACTTGTAGCAGTGTGATATCACATGAGTCTGGAAACAAAATTTGGTTGCTCTAGCTTTTATAGTCTCTGAGATCTAGGCGCTAATGAAGACAGACAGACATCCAATTTTACCACAAATACAATATACCCCTTAACTCTTTTTGAGTATGGGTATAATGATGGTTACGGGCTGTGTCTGGAGTGTGTTTCAACACAATGGGTCCAGTATACAGCTAAAATGTTCGGAATCCTGTCGCCTTGAATCTTTCCACATCATCAAGATAAAGGTATAAAGGTATACATTTACGAAACGAAATCAATTTGGAGCTAATTGAGCTTTTATTTTATGCCGATTTAAAGAAAATTGATGAACATTAACCCACACTAAA